AATGTTCTATCATAGGATGTTGATTGTATTGCTTTATCCGTTTTAATTTTGCTTTCAGATATACCTGAGGGCCGAGGGCCATTCTAAAATATTAATTTATATCATAAGCGATTGATTCTGCCTTTTCAAGCTGCTCGAGATGATTGTGCTGAAAGTTGGTAACAAAGTACCAAATAGTGACAAGAGAATTTCTTGCTACTTTTCAACAGACAACAAAATAACAACCTAACCTGTATGTTGACAGAAAGCTTTTAGATTGGCCCAATGAAGTTAGAAGAGTTGGAGAATAGCCAGTTAAACAGACATGGGGGGGGGGGGAGCCAACATTGATCCACCCCTTAAATTATTCTCTGCTAGAACTTTTTTTTTTAAAAAAAAATCTTGACTCCAGCTCAGAACTTGATGAGCCTTTGAGTTAATTTATATTTGTGTATTTACAAAACTGACCTTGCTTGCTTGGAACACAATGCTTTTTTTTTTTTTAAATTTAGTTCAATGTATCCTGTGCCATATGTGCTTGATTGAAATCTCCTGCAATTTGCTTGTTCGTTACACTTATGTTCAATGAATATATTATTGATCGAAGGTGGTATACAGTATAATAATAATCCACTGCTAAACGACCCACAGCGTTGTGTTTGCCAACTGTTATTTTTTATGTCTTGCAGCATTGCAAGTTGGGCAGCGTACAAGTTCGATGAGTTTATTTTTATGATTAAAAGCCCACAGTAAAAAAATAAAGTTTTCATTGATTTCTGTTTGTTTGTCATCCTGCCTTTACTATTTTTTTTTTATAAATACAGGCAGACCTTGAGTTGTGATCGCGGTTCAGCCCAAAACTTCTGTTGCTAAACAAAACATTTCTGATTTTTTGCGCCATTTTATAACTTTTTTTGCCACAGTTGTTAAATGAATCATTGCAGTTGTTAAGTTAGTAGTAACACGGTTGTTAAGTTGAATCTGGGTTCACCCCACTGACTTTGCTTGTCAGAAGGTCACAGAAGCAGATCATACGGCAGCGGGAACCTGCGACAGTCATAAATAAGAGCCAGTTGCCAGCATCTGAATTTTAATCGCGTGACTGTGGGGATGCTGCAACGGTCATAAGTGTGAAAAACGGTCATAAGTCACTTTATAGCTTTCCAGAGTCTCAACATCTTTTTTTTTATATTGTGACCAGAACTGGATGCTGTATTCCAAGTAAGGCTTTGTAAAGCGGTACTTTACAAAATGCCGCTTTAGAACTTCATGGGAACATCCGTGGCTGTTCTAGCTTTGAATGGTTACTAAACAGACGGTTGTAAGTCAAGGAATACCTGCACTTGGATAACTGAGTAGCAACCACTCTGCACCTCCCCACTTCCCCTTCATCTTCTTGTTCTAGCTTCAACAGGAATTTGTACGTTTAGCCCATTTGTAGCCGCTTTCCAGGGACGTGAGCGAGGAAGTGCCCTGGCGGAAACAATCCCGAAGAGTGTGCTATGCTGTGCCTTCTTTGTTGTCGTCGCCTCTGTTGCTCGATGGGAAGTTTGCTGCTGTGGTGCTGCTGCTGTTCCCGCGTGGTAGTTAATGAAAAAAATAAGTAAAATAAAATAAAGGGGAGTGAATCAAATCAAAGCAGCATTTGCCGTTCTAGGCAGACACAATGCTGCTGCTGCTGCTGCTTCCGAAATTGGCAGGCACAGCCTTATCGGAGGGAGAATATCACTGCTTTGGACCCTGTCTGCCAGCAGAGGCTGTTGCTCTTTGCCAGAGGGGGGAAACAACAGCTTGTACGGAGATGCCGATCCTTGCTGCATTGCAGAGCTTAAAAATGCTTTTTTTCTCCATGGCTGGGCTCCCCTCCCTGGCTTCTGTCTCCGTTGCACATGCTGTTTATTGGCTTATCTAAGGCTGCTGCTGGTTAAAGCTAAAAGTATGCTGGCTTGCACCGAGGGAAGATTCATGCGATCTCTTGTTATTTGGTGCCGGCCTGATCTTTGCAGTCGGATGTCTGCCTGACATTCTGGGAATAAATACTACCTTTTGCCTTTCCCTAACAAAGTATCTATCACGGAGAACAGAGGGCTGTTTGTATAACAGAGGCCGTGTACATTCTCACGGAGTCCTAAAGCAGTACTTTATGAAGTACCGCTTTACAAAGCCTTAGTAAGAGCACACTTGGAATGCGGCATCCAGATCTGTCCACCACACTATAGAAAAGATGCTCTGGAAAGAATGCAGAGAAGAGCAACAAGGATGATCAGGGGGCTGGAGGTTAAAACATACCAAGAATGGTTACAGGAATTGAGAATGTCTAGTCTAATGAAAAGAACGCCTAGGATAGCAGTCTTCCAATATTTGAGGAATAGAATAGAATAGGGTAGGATAGGATAGGATAGGATAGGATAGGATAGGCAATAGGATAGGCAATAGAATAGGAGAGGCAATAACATAGAATATAGAATGGAATGAAATAGAAATAGAATAGAATTTGTATTGTCACTTTAAATGTACATAATCAGCATGCATTAAAATGAAATTTTGTGGCATTCAGCTCTCTCTCTCAAAAAAAAATACCATTATAGGCACAAGAAACCAAGAACAACACAATGAATTGTTCAGAGAAGTTTATTGCTGTTCATCCATAGACAGGAATCTTGCCAGACTAAAGCACACTCTGCATAACTATCAGATAAATACTGTGAAGATTTAGGGAGGATCCCTCCTTGGTCTTTTTCCTGCAACTGGGCTGCCGGATTCCACCACAGAAATTCATTTCCGAATACAAAGGAATCTTGGTAAAGGGAGTTCTATACGAATTGCTTACCATTTTGTCTGACTTGTCAAATATGCTTGCTGTTCCCCCATTCTAATCTGTGAAATGTTTTCTGTAACACAATGGGGGAGAGGTTGGCTGAAATGTCTTGGGAATTCTTCAAGGCTGTCAAATTAGACCAACTTCACATGACAATAAAGCATCACCGAGAAGACAGCGGGGGAATCGGGGAGGGAAAAGTAAATCTACCGCTGCTGTAGGAGGCTGGCTTGGTGAAAATAAAAGCCTCGTAAATTTGGCTTTTAAAGCACTTAGCAGATTGCTGCCTGTTTTGGCACAGCGTCTCCTTCCCTGAGAGTACTTTGAAATGACTCCTACACAGGAATAGATGTGAAAAGTGTTAACATTGGAATGGAAACCCCTGCTGGATTTTCTAGAAGAAATTGTGATTAGGTTACTAAATTTCTGGCCAAACCGTGTCTGGTGATATTCCTCAAATATCATTAAGAATTTCAAGCGTGGCTGAACTACCTTTTAACTGAGATTTGGAGCTTTAGAAAGAGAAACCAAATAGTCTGCAACATTTCTGACCTTTCTGGATCAGATATGGATGCCTAGAGCAGGGGTCCCCAAACCCCGGTCCGTGGACTGGCACTGGGCCACGGCATGCCAGCAGCCGGTCTGTGCAAATAAGCAAAACCCCATCCGCGGGATGCAGGCAGCACCCAAAACCACGTATCTTCCGGTCCACGGAAAAACATCTCTCCACATAACGGTCCCTGGTGCCCAAAAGGTTGGGGACCTCTGGCCTAGAGGCAAATACAGGTAGTCCTCAACTTACAACCAGAATTTCTGTTGTTAAACCGGCAGTTGTTAAGCAGGTTTTGCTTCATTTTATGACCTTCCTTGCCACTTGGTAAGTGAATCACTGCCATTATTAAGTTACTGCCAAAGAATTGAGGCCTTTGAACTATGGTGCTGGAGAAGACTCCTGCGAGTCCCCTGGACTGCAAGGTGATCAAACCGGTCAGTCCTAGAGGAGATCAACCCTGACCGCTCTTTAGAAGGCCAGATCCTGAAGTTGAAACTCAAGTACTTAATGAGAAGGAAGGACTTGCTGGAGAAGAGCCTGATGCTGGGAAAGATGGAGGGCAAGAGAAGAAGGGGACTCCTGTGAGTCCCCGTCATAAATGCGAATCAGTTGCCAGGAGTCTGAATTTTGATTGGTGATCACGGGGAGGGTACAGTGGTTGTAAGTGTGAAAAACGGTCATATGTCACTTTTTCTACTGCTGTTATAACTTTGAACGGTTGCTAAATGAATGACTGTAAGTTGAGGACTATTGTATGAAAAAATCTATCAGTCTTACCTAGAACCACGTCCCCTTGTGTAGAGCAAGCTCAATAGCCCTTAGACCTGGACCCTAGAAAAAGAGGAAGGACCATATGTTGTGTCATATTTGCCTTTAATCTTGGCTGACTTTGTGAATTTGTGCCGTTTAATAACATGCCACTATATCCTCGTTTGCTTTTGAGTCGTATATTTAATATATTTGTATGTTATTTATATACCACTCCACAGAGCTGCAAAACATTAAGACGCGTACATTAATCTAAGTTCTACTGCTGTTTTGAGGAAATTAAAGAGAGAAATAAAACCCTAAATTTCCAAAAGCATAATAAGATGGCTTTATCTTTGCATCCAGACCTGAACATTTCCATTATTTAGCTTGTAGTTATCCTTCCATTGATCCTTTATTGATGCTAAATTTCTAGGAGTGCCGTTCATTGAGATATGGCTGCATGCCAGCAAGCAGACTTGCAGATAAAATTCTTTGCAGTCTAGCAGATGGTTTGTTTGGTGAAGCTGGCCATGGTCTCCATCATTTCTGTTCCATTCTTTGGGTTTGTTAAAAGCAGATCAAGCCAAACAAACCTTATTGCCTTCTTTGATCAAGTGGCTAAATTAGTGGATCCAGAAAATGCTGTGGATATTTGTATGCTTAGGTTACAGTAAGGAATTTGATAGAGTAGACCACAGCCTGCTTCTTGGTAAGATACAACAATGTAGGATAGACCAATGAATTCACTGTAACCAGCATGTACAGGGAGTCCTCAACTTAACAACAGTTCATTTAGTGACCATTCAGAGTTGCAACATCACTGAAAAAAGTGACTTATGACTGTTTTTCACACTGGTCTGGCTTGATTATAACTTCTGTTCCTCCTGCTTGCTTCTCTAGGCTTTCCACGTAGCGTCCAGGAGTGCAGATGGATGCCGAAGGATTTGGCGAGCTGCTGCAGCAGGCAGAGCAGCTGGCCGCAGAGACAGAAGGCATCGCGGAGCTGCCTCACGTCGAACGCAATCTCCAGGAGATCCAACAGGCAGGGGAGCGTTTGCGTTCCCGGACCCTGACCCGCACGTCACAAGAAACAGCAGATGTCAAAGCGTAAGTCCCTGGGTTGTTTAAAAGCACTGTCGGTGGCTGCTAGATTGCATTGCTGGAGAGCAAACCTCGGTGAAGGGTCTAGGACAGGGGTAGGCAACCTTGGCTCTTTTATGACTGGTGGACTTCAACTCCCAGAATTCCTGAGCCAGCAGGGCTCAGCTTGGAAACCTCTCTCTTTCCCCTCAGCATGGCTGGCTCAGGAATTCTGGGAGTTGAAGTCCATGAGTCATAAAAGAGCCAAGGTTGCCTCCCCCTGGTCTAGGACAATTCGCCACGGCAAACTCGCCGTGGGACCATTCGCCACGGACAATTCCATGCAGCATAACTCAGTGCGATAGATGTTATCTGCCACTATTTCTGTGACGAGATGGCCATGCGCAGTGAGATGGCCGGGGTGAATTGTCCCATTCCGCCAGTGAATATACTCTGATTGAGTTATGATGCAGAGAGCTCTGTTGGGAAACTCCCAGCTATGCAGGGAGGAGGCGTCAAGCAGAGAATTAGTCTTGAGTCCTTGCACAGCCACAACTGCGCAACTTCCTTGTGCATTCAATCCATCACCCATCCATCTGTCCTTGTCTTACCACACTTGTTTCCTAAGTATACCATTTCTGCCATGTTCCAACTTCTATCTTTTCTCCCATTGTCCCCAAGTCTCCCTTCTACATCATCCTCACTATTTATCTCAGTTTATATCCTTTCTGCCTTGGTTGGCATTCATTGGAGAAAGAGCCACCAAATTTCTCTCAGGGAAATTTCTTGGAAGTTTTCTCCTGATGGAAATAATTTCTAAAGCAGATTTTCTTTCATCAGATCGAACGAGAATCAGGAGAAGAAAAATGCCAGAAAAAAAAAATGGCTGTTCAAACATTGGCAGACATGTGGTGCCAGACTCCAGTGCGGTGATATTTTTTGGGAACATGTGCAGGCTGTCAATCAGCAGATGTTAAGAAATATTTTAGGAGCCTATCAACACTGTGCTCCTCAGTTGAGGGTTTTGTTGCTTAATGGTCCTTCAAGCAAAAGTTGTGCCGTGTTTATTTCGACCCAAGTTTTGTAGCAGTTCTAAGAACAAAAATGAGTACATATAGCTTTTACTTAGGACCACAATTGGGGGCCCGAGTTTTGGTTGCTAAGCAAAGTGGTTGTTAAAGTGAGTCACACCCAATTTTACAGACTTTTTGCCAAGGTGGTTAAATGAATCACTACGGTTGTTAAATGATTCGTGCAGTTGTTAAGCGAATCCGGCATCCTCTATTGATTCTGCTAGTTGGAAGATGTCTGGGAAGGTCTCACATTGGATCACATGATCCCGGGATGCTGCAGCCATCCTAAATACATGTGCTCCAATTTTGATCATGTGACCATGGGGATGCTGCAGTGGTCATAAAGACGAGGACCGGTCGTAAGTCACTTTTTTTCAATGTCACGTAACTTTGAACAGCTGTAAGTCAAGGACTACTTGCAGTACGCTAATCAGGCCTCTGGAATTAAATTTTGTTTTGGGAGAAATGACACCATTGCCTCGTTTTACTCTCTCTCTGTGCCTCCCATCCTCTGTTTTCATCTGTCTTCCAGATCGGTGCTTCTCGGATCCAGAGGACTTGATATATCCCACATATCTCAACGCCTGGAGAGCTTGAGCGCCGCGACAACATTCGAACCTCTAGAGCCTGTAAAAGACACAGATATACAGGTCAGGGCCACACGTGACAAAAATACACTTTCTTCCTCAAAAGAAGCCCGTGTATTTTTGCAATGCTTTATGCGTGCACGCGCTACTAAACATTCGCATTTTCTTGTTCAGAGAAAGGCCTGTCTTTGCTCGTGACTGTTCAAAGAGGAAAGGCTGGCCTTCTGCATTTAATGCTTAAGTGCCTTGATGTTCCAGTTATTAGAACCCTCTTCTCTGCATGTCATTGTGGAGGCGCTGTTGAAAGACTTGGCTTGTTTACTTACTGAAAGAGCCGGTATATCTTTGAAGGACAACACTGCAGTAGTCTCAATTTATAGACTTTCCCGTGTTTACTTTTTTGGGTTTCCTCTAGCTGAATTTTAAGGGGAAGGCTGCATCTCAGTAACAAACTGCATATTTCCTTATAACATCTTCCGAGTTTGATCCCAGAATTTACTGGGTTGCAGTCAGAATTCTGATTGCGACCCAGTAAATTTGCTGCCATTTAGCAACTGGCTTCCAGCTCTCGTGTTTTGTAATCTACATGTTAAGGAGGGTGGGGAAATGTTATTTCTATGGTGCAATGACCACCTCCCACCTGCCCTGAACCTAAGGGACGATTGATTTGACTTGATCTAAGGCAGTATCTAATATTTCTTTGTTCTGCTGTGACAATCCCTAATTTTCAGTACAAAAACCTGAGTATTTCGTAGACTGACTTTTCAATATGATTAAAAACCACAGCCTGTTCTGCTTGTAACGTGATGTTCTTTGCTTTGCTGACTCCGACTCTCCCCCCCCCTTTTCTTTTCCGGTCTGTCTCAATGCTGTATAATAGTAGGTTTTATCAGCTGGTGTTCTTTCACCTTTCAATGGAAGACGAGCCTCGACGTATGGCCACAATTGACCCTAAAATTTCTGTTGCTAAGTGAGCTGTTTTGCCCCATTTTGCAACTTTTCTTGCAAAAGCATCTGATTTTTGATCACGTGACCATGGGGGGGGATGCTGTAACGGTTGTGTGAAAATCAGTCATAAGTCCCTTTTTTCAGTGCCGACGTGACTTTGAACGGTCAGTAAATGAACAGTTGTAAGTTGAGGACCACCTGTATCATATCCGGGATATCTTTGCTTATTTTTGCTTTCCTACCTAGCAGGAGCGCAGATCCGTGTCTTTAAAAAATCAGTACAGTTGCATTGCATCTTTCCCAATGTGTTTAATTATTTCACCTTCAATTGTGTTTAGAGTTTCTGCACGGTAGGAATTGACACAATTTTGGTGGGCCTCTGGGAGTCTGCACGCTCTGCTTTGTCGGCTGCACTATGTGTATTTTTGCTAGCCGAAGGAGAATTCGAACCCACAGACGATACCTCCCCGTTCTTTCAACCTCATTGCTGTTGCAATAATTAGTTGGGTGTCTTTTTCTCTGGAACAGTTTTTTAGGCTTTAGATTTTAGTGCTGATGAAGGGGCCATGCCAATTTACGTCTTAATTTTGTGAATTATTTAGCAGTAATAACACTTAGGTGACTGATAGGAGAAGAGGAAATATTGCGGAGATGTCTCCCCTTGGATCTTGTAATTGATTCTGGGGCCTGGGGCGAGCGATTCCCGTTATGTTTGGAAAAGGGAATAATGCCTTGTTAGATTAGATTAGGGACTCATTGCATCCTCAACAGACAGCCTTCCGGGAGAGTCACACGGAAGACAGGGATCTTCCTCTGCGGAGGTCTTCTCTGCAAACATAAGGATGGGTTTTTTTGAGAACTTCTTTTGGGATTTTGTGAGCATATGTAGCATCCTCTCATAAAATGGCTGCTACAGCAGACACAATTATTTCATTTATCAGAAGACCAGATTGGTTTTCACTCTCTCTCCTCGCTGCCCTTTAGATGTTCCCTCTTCCACCCCTCCCAGCTTAGCTCTGACTTTTTTTTTTCCAACTGGAAATGCTTCCAAAAAGCTGGAACAAAACCACTCATCCTTTTTTTATTTTTTAATTTCTTAAGGACATTAGAGGGACTCGGTAAATAGTGATACTACAGGTGATCTTTCACTTACGACTGCAGCTGAGCCCCAAATTTTCCATTATTAAGCAAGACAATGGTTGTGCCTCGTTTTACAACCTTTTTGATGCGGTTGTGAAGTGAATCGCTGCAGTTGTTAAGTTAGCAACAGGGTGGTTAAGCGAATCTGGCTTCTCCATTGATAGCTTGTCAGTTACAACAGCTCTGAAAAAAGTGGACTTACGCCTTTTTTTCACATTTAATGGCCGTTGCAGCATCCACCTGGTCAAAATTCAGACCCTTGGCAAATGATTGATATTTATGACATTTGCAGTGTCATTTTGTGCCCCTCTGACAAGCAAAATGAATGAGGAAGCGAGATTCATTTAACAACGGTCTCCCTTAGCACTGGAAGGTTGCGGCTCTGTTGTCATAAATCATGGGATTACCTGAATTTTTGTATAGTACACCTCTCCTTTTTTAAAAAATTCTGTAGATTCTCATAAGGTAGAGGACCCGCGATAATGCAAATAGAACCCACAATTTCTCCAGAGATATTCCAGTCTTTGGAGGCTCTGAATTTTGTTTCGAAGCCTTCCTAAACAAAGACAGAAAAGGGAGAAAAAGCATAGAGCCGAATCAAGTTTTTTATATTTCAGATTTTAAGCCTCTAGCTTGCTCCTCCTTCTGATGTGTCTGAATGCGGTAATGATTAATGAAGAAAAATACTGCAGTTGTTGGCTGCATATTATCTCTTAGCCTTCCCACAGTAATTGGTTTTTGCTTGCTTTGGGTTTCATGCACTGGCTAAGGGAGTACATTAAGTATTTTTGTTGTGTGCATTATATCTGAGATCCATTTTGCTCTGGTGGATTGGTACAAGATGTTTGAGAGCAGCTAGAAGCGGGCCAGGCTGAGAGACTCTTCCATCACTTTGTGCTGATTGCCCTAGAGCAGCTTCATATGCTCCCCGGTGATAGAACTGATTTTGCTATTACTAGGATGCTACCAGGTGAAATCTAGAGACACTCCGGAACCGTGGAATTTGTAGTGTAAACCCTTTGGATTGGGAAAGGGTGATCTATTCCGAGTGAAACACGGAAATACAGCTCTGTTTTGGGAAGCCGGTTTGCTTCTTCACTTCCACTACCATTGTAAGGAGTGGAGAAACTTTTATTTCAAGATCCAAACCCAAACAAAAGACGTTAAACTTGATCTATATTTTGCAGAAACAAGGTGGCTTTAAAGTGTAGCTTATGACGATTAGACTGAGCAAACTGTAATTTAGGCCTTGGATGCTGTGTTAAACTGAGGCTGATCTAAGATGGAAGCAAAGAGTTGAAATGATTTGGATGCTCTGCTTCCGTGTAGATCATTCCTAATTCAGCATTCCTCAGATTCTATGACAAAATGGCTAAAAAGTGAAAATCCTCACCAGGTTTTTCTGTAAGAATTAGGTAAGCGTAATGCAAAAGAAGAACTTGCAACTTCGCAAGGCAAATGCCAAGAACGACAATCTCCAGGGATAGAATACGTCAACGTTTGGAAAAGTCTGGAGGATGTCTTTGAGAATAACACACTTCTCCTAAACCAAGGGTAGGCAACCTTGGCTCTTTTATGACTGGTGGACTTCAACTCCCAGAATTCCCGAGCCAGCCATGCTGAGGGGAAAGGGAGAGGTTTCCGAGCTAAGCCATGCTGGCTCAGGAATTCTGGGAGTTGAAGTCCACGCGTCATGAAAGAGCCAAGGTTGCCTACCCCTGTCCTAAATACTTACACCTAAGGTGGACTTCTTTAGAGCTGCCTTTAAAAAGCTTCAGTTGAAGTTGAGTAGCTCAAAGGTGTTTTTTCAAAAGGCAGCTGGACTGTTTTTTCCTTGAGGAAGAAGAAAAAAAACGTTTTGCTTCTCATCCAAGAAGCTTCACAGCTGATGGAGCTTCTTGGATGAAAAAAAAAATCCAGTTGCTTTTGAAAAAAGCACCTTTGAGACAACTAGGAACCTGGATGACTAAGAATCTCCACCAAAGTTGAATATTGGTTTGCAGCTTCCAGGAGGCTGGTGTAATCTTGCATCTTGGTTTTTTTTTCCAAGAGCGTTTCTAAAACTTATTATTTATACTACAGAATTTGGGTGTGGAAACACGTTCCAAATAATGGAACAAAGAAGACTTAGCTTTCACATGCTAACATTTTTTTCTTTCAATGTTAACTTGATTACGTACTGTTATCTCAGCTAAAGTTGGGGTATTAATCTGTACTGGAAACCGTTCTCACTTAATCTTCCTAGAATTCACGATGATGCCTCCCATGAATTGTGACTGTAGCTTTAATAATGAGAACAAAGATGTTGTCTGGAGCTGCCAAAGTGCTACAGCCAATCAGCAATTTTTTTTCTACTTTGAAGTCTTATTGCTTAAAAGATGACAGTTCGTAACGGCATTATGTAAAATTGGATACACTGATCTACACCTTTGGGGGTTATTTCTCTGTAATTAAATTTGCAAGGAAACCATTCTGTTATTCAGCTGCTTAGAAAGAATCTCTGAACTACAGAATTCTGAAGTATTATTTTAAACATGCTTTCTACAGTATTTATCCTCATTCAGTAGAAAGATTGCTTCTGGTGGGGGAACCCTAGGTTTCAAACAAAATGGTGAGCAGATTCGTGACTTAGATATGTTTTATAACAAAACAACAACAACAACAACAATAATAATAAAGTTGGAAGGGACGTTGGAGGTCATCTAGTCCAACCCCCTGCTCAGGCAGGAAACCCTATACCATTTTGGACAAATGGCTGTCCAGTCTCTTCTTAAAAACTTCCAGTGTTGGAGCATTCACCGCTTCTGGAGGCAGGTAGTTCCACTGGTTAATTGTTCTAACTGTCAGGAAGTTTCTCCTTAGTTCTAGGTTGCTTCTCTCCTTGATGAGTTTCCATCCATTAACAGTATCCTCCTTCCCAGCTGTCTGCCTGTTCAGATAATCTGATAACTCTCGTCATGTATACTAGGAGATCA